TCCCACCACCCCCATCAAGGGCTGCTCTTCCAGAGTCTATGTGAGGCTGAAAGAGCCTCAACTAAGCCTCTAGCCAAAACCTGTTTATTCTTTACCCTGTGTTGGTTCTTCCTCTTGAGAGAGCCAGGAGTTCGCCACACCAAAGCAGGTGCACCCAACTCTGGTATGCTTGGTCACAGCAACCCCTGAGGCTTCTAGTCTTCAGATCTTCTTTACTCCCCTACAACTAGGCTTTTGTTCCGTCTCACGTTCACCAGCCAGACAGTCCTCCAGTCCCTTTGCAATGAATCTACTTAATCCTTCAAAATGGAACCTGTTCTCTCTGGTTGTTTTTTGCATTCTTTCCTCACCACCTTTCAGCGGGATTTCCACCTGTTGTCTGTTTCAATCTGGTCTGGACCACAGCTGGAAATGTCAGGGACAAAAAAAGTAAGCACCTGGATTACTGGCTCTGTGTCAGGAACTTGACTCAGGGCCCAGGGAGCTGACCCTTTTCCTAAAGCTCTCTCAGTCCTTCTAAACCAAACCAAACCAAACAAACCAGAGGGGAAAAAATACTTAAGAAAAATAAACCCAGAAAACACAACCCCATCACCCAAAATATTGAAATGGAAAATAAATCCATTCTCTGGAGACTTGGTCTGAAACATACCAGGGCTGGCACTGGGTAAAGCCGCCAGGAATGAGTCTAACAGGACAAGTCTGTAACCCTGCAGAGGAAAAAGCTAACATTTTCTAAATGACAATGTGGGCAGATAGCAGCCGCATACAAATCCTACGCTGTTGTTGCCTAAACTTGGGAATAGAGTTCGGGATCTTGACGTGACTCCCTCTCTCCAGCACCTTGCTTACTCCATAAATCATGTGTCACTTCTGATCAATCCTTATGGTCTCTGGCCTCAGATGGGCTGCTTCTAGGACTGTGAGGAGGTAACTGCCCCCCGCATCTTGAAACCCACATCTCAACCCCAGCTCAAAAAACAAATATTCTTATTCTTGAAAGGACAGAGTGAGACAGACAGAAGTAGGTCCAGGCGGGGCTGTTTTCAGGGAAGCCCTGGGATCACACCTGGACGCACTCAGTGTGTCAGTGTCAGGAGAATTCCCTCCCACCAGTAATGCTGCAGATGTGGAAGCTTGTTATGTTCCCTCCTTAGCAGCCTAGATTTTTAAGAGTAGCTTTAGGAGGCTCAAGGAAACGACTCAGAGAAGTTGAATGCCAAGGTGATCAGGACATACAGGAGAATCCAGATCATTCCATGTTGCTAAGATTCTGGATTTTTGTTTTGATGTTGTTTTAGAAGAAAGCTTAAGGCACAAATTACCTAAGGGACCTGTTATAAGGCAGATTAGATTTTAGGTCTGAAAGAGGCCTGAGATTCTGCAATTTTTAACAAGCTCCCTGTTGAGACCAATGAGACCTATGTTGCTGATCCAAGGTCACACCTAAGGATCTGGGAGATTAGAACAAATCAGAGCCAGAGACAACCAAGACACACAGAGATTGAGGACTGATATCCAGAAGAGAGACAGAAAAACAAAGGGAAACAATAGTGCATACAAATAGAGGCTGAGGTGAGAACAGAGAAAGGGTGACAGAAAGAGGGATAGAGAAGGGGACAGGGTCAGCGAAAGAGGGACCTGCAAAGGCAAAGAGATATAAACCAGAGATGGAGGACAGATAGGACCAGAGAAACTGGCAGAGCCAGGGTCAGGGAGAGGAAGCAAGGCAAGGAGCTGGGGGAGATGGCCATGGGCAGCCTGTGACCGCCCAGGCACCTGAACAGCAGTGAAGGGGCTCAGGGGTATGGGTGAGATGAGCCCTACAGTGTCAGGTGCATAGACCTGAGATACCTCACTTTCCAAACTTCCCAGACTTCCTACACCTATACCACCCTCTCCTTGCTCCCGTATAGCTGTCCTTCCCCAGGGCCTTTCACTACTGACTTCCCCCTTCTCTCGACTGTGTGTGTATCCTCTTCCTCTTAACTGGTCCCTTCCCAGCAAGTTTTAAACATTTTCAAGTCTTTCCCACCTAAAAAAAAAAAAAAAAGCTTTCTCTTGACCCCGTATCTCTTTCTAGTCCTGTCCTATTTTTCTCCTTTTCTCAGTGAAACTTCCTGAAGAAACTGTCTGTACTGTATCTGCCTCTGTCAACCTCCCCAGATAGCTCTCGCCAAGGTTACTATTGACACACACATGGTGCTCAATTCCCAGTCCTCACTTACTTGGTCTCTTAGATGCCTTTGGTCCCCTCGATCTCCCCTCCTGCTTGCTGGCTTTCGGACGTGACATTCTCCCGGTTGTCCTCTTCCCTGGGACTCCTCCTCTGACAGATCCTTCATTATCTGATCCTCATACTTGGCCAGCCACAGAGCTGAGTCCCGAGCTCTCTCATCACCCAGTACTCTTTTTAATCAACCTCTTCCAAACCAAGACCCTCAATTAACTTCTCTACCCCAGTTTATATTGCAGCTCAGACTCCCCCTGTGCACTCTAAACCTATATTTGTGTTTGCACAGCGGCTACTCCCAATCTTCACCAGGTTGTCTCAGAGGTACCTCAGACCCAACCCAGTCAAACCCAAAGTTATGTTCTCTTTTCTCCTTCCAAATTGTTCTTTCTCCTGGGTTCCCAGCTCAGAGCACAGCACCATCAACTGTCTAGGTGTTCAAGCTAGAAACAGAGACTTTATCCTTGACACCTCTCTCTTCTTTTCTCCCCTCTTCCATACCCAGTTTAACACCAAACTCTGCCAACTTTATTCTCCAAATACCTTTGACTTCTCTCCATTCCCACTGCCACCACCCTAGTCCAAGCCTTCGACACCTCTCAACTGGATGACGGCAATAGCCTCCTCAGCAGCTTTCCTCCAATCTGTTTTCTACACTCCAGACAACATAATCTTTGCGAAATACAAATCTGGTCATGTTGGCCTGCAGCTTAAAAACCCCTTCAGCAGCTTCCCCTGGCTCTGAGGATAAAGATCTAACTCTAGGTAACCTTTCTGGGATTGTCTCACCTTACTTGCCCTCCAGGCCTTCCAGGTATATTGGCCTTCAACACCAAGCTCCATTCTGCCACAGGACATTTGCATGAACTACGCCCTCTACATAGAATTATGCTGTCCAGTACAGTAGCCACCAGCCACATGTGGCTGGTGAGCACTTGAAGCATGGCTAGTGCAACTGAAGAACTGAATTGTTAATATTATTTAATTTTAATGAATTAAATTTAAAATTTAAAAACATTCAGTTATTGGCAAACTTAACTCTTCTTGAAACAACTTGAGTATGTGAATCTACTTTTCAACTTTAATTTTTATGAACTCTAAATACAGCTCAAGTATTTCTGGTGAAAGTTTCATGTCTAAATTAAGATATGCCATAAAGTGTAAAAATACACACAGGATGTTGAAGACTTAGTTTGAAAAAAAATGTAAAAGATCTTGTTAATAATTTTTATATTGATTAAAAGATAACATTTTGTATGTATTTGGTTAAATAAAGAATATAATTAAAATTAACTTCACCTATCTCTTTCTACTCTTTAAATGTGACTACTAGAAAGATTTTCGATCACATAAGTGGCTCACATTACAATTCCGTTAGACAGCACTGATCTAGGATGTCATTCCTTCTCTTTGTCTTAACTCTTTCTTTCTTTAGAGTTTGGCTCAAATATCACCTCTGAAAAGCTTCCCTGAGATAAAATCTTTGACTTATCCACTTTTATTCACTTTTGCAGCTTTGTGTATGTGCCAGTGGTTGCCTGCCTTTAACTCCGCCCACTTGTAATTATACACTTATTTGACTGATTATTTGATTTACACCTGTCGCCCCCACCAACCTCTAAGTTCCATGACAGCAAGCCCATGTCTGGTTCTCCTCTGGACACCAAACACTTAGTCCAGAACCTGGTGCACGGATGGCTGCCAGTGGACACTTCCAAATGCCGTAAGAGGCGATTCCATCCATTGTTCCGCCTTTGGGTCCGTCACCAACCATCCCAGAGCACTCCCTTCCCCTGTAGCCCCTCAGCGTAGAGATTCCACCTCTCCAAGATAGAAAATCTTCCTCTATAGCGGACTGGCATCCTTCTCATCCTTAGAGGTAATTAGAGCAGTGCTTCTAAAATTTGAATGTGCACATCTGTCACCTGGAACCTTGTTAAAATGCAGACTCTGGTTCCTTGGGTCTAGGATGGGACCCAAGATTCTCATTTCTAACCGGCTGCCCAGTGGTGATGTCAATGCCTCCACAGACCACACTCTGGGCAAGAAGCTGGCTACCACCTTGAGTATCCCCAAAGTCTTCCTCCTGCTCTGTCCAGGAGGCCATTAAGGGGTCTCTTAAAATTCAGCCCTGTCTCTTCTTGCTCCCATGCATACTCCACCAATCCCTGTACCCTGAAAAAGAATGTGGTGCCTCTGGCTACTGTTGTCATTTGGTTTTTGTTTTTAATTTGAAATAAACCTTTAAGCAGTTTTCAGTCAGGGCAGCCCTGATATGGATCAAAAATATGTAACAATATTCTCCAATGATAAAGTCACACAGCTGGAAATGCTGAACAGTCCTCACACTTTGGCTCCTGTCTGCCACACTGGGCTGATCCTATCAGCTCCTCCAGAGGCATCAATCTGCAAAGTTTGGGCCTGGGAAATGTCCTCTCTGCCATGTCCATTGGGAACATCACAAACCAAGGGTGTGCTGCTGGGCAGAGATGACCCCTCTGCTTCCCCACCCTGTTCACATCATGATGTCCAAGAGATAGAAGTGTCTTCCAGTAGCCTTGAGTGTGTGTGTGTATGTATGTGTGTGTGCATGCGCACGGGTGTACATGTATGTCGGTTGCATGTTTGGACGTGGGGGTCTGCACGTTCATGTATGTTTGTAGAGTGTGTGTACGTGTTACCCCCGGCACTCCAGTTCAGTAAATCTTCCATCACATAGAGCAGCGCTGGACTATTTCTGCATCGGCCTGGAGGCTGAAGAATGTCCCTAGGTGGGCCCCGCAGATGTGAGTGGCCCCACTGTCCCTTGCTGCTGCTGCTGTTGCTGGCCCTTGCGTCTCCGAGAGCCGGTGCCCGCATCCTTGCTTTCCTTTCTGCTTGGGTTCCTGTTGGCGTTCTCCCGCCGGCCCTGGCTTCCCTTCCTCCTCTTCTGCCCTGCAACCCAACAGCAGGAAGAGTCAACGAATGATGCCCTTCCACAAACAGGGAGGCCCTAGGCATGGCCAAAGGCCCTAGGAGGGGAGTGGTGAGGAAGCTGGGCAGGGAGGAGGCTGGAGATGCTGCCTTTAGGCAATCAGGGTCCCCTTAAAACCTCCTCTGACCATCAGCCACTTCAGAGGACCCTGCAACAAGGGTACTGAGAGGGGGTCCCAAGAGCCTTTTAGCCTTCTACTTCTCGATAAACCAGACACCCTCCTCTTCCTCATGTCTTCCTCAAGCCTTGGACCCCCATGTTCAAGATGTTCAGTGCAGCTTTCAGGACAAGCAGGATGATTCCTGCCCCTCTCTGGGGCCATCATTGCCAAGGCTGAGCGACCTTGGCCAAATCATTATACCTCTCTGGGTCTTAGCACCCCCTTCAACATCCCCACCCGACCTCTGAGGTTCCTTCCAGTGCCAACATCCGCTGGCCCAGAAGAAATGGAAAGATATGGACATGAAAGTTTCCAGCTCCCACCACACAGAGTTCAGGGGTTCTGCCAGGACCTGGCACTAGTTTGCACAGCATGGGATCTTGAGTTGGGGACTCCCCATTTGGCCCCAGCCTGAGGCCCTCTCCTGGACAACAGGCAGGAAGCAAAGGTGGTCACACCTCCAGGGAGGCGGAGGCTGCAGCTCACCCTCAGGACAGGGCACCCTCCGCACTGTGCACCTCCGGATCTCCTTGGTGTCGGAGCAGATGGCATGGTCCCCTCCGGGGGCATGGAGCACCCTCCGTGTCCGCTCCTCAGAGCCCCTCCGGAAACCACAGAGCTTCTTCTTCTTGGAGCACGGCCCCCACAGGGACCACTCGCTCATTTCACATTGCGCTGGCAGGAAGGGAGGGAAGACGGAGAGAAGGGAGAGGAGCAGGGGTCACATCCCCTCCCCTGGCCCGGAGTACCGCATGGGAGCTTCTCCCACCTGCTCTCTGCCTGGACTCAGGCCCAGAGGGCAGGAAAGTCCTAAGGAAAACCCCAGAGGGTAGTTGTAGGGTAAGTTTTCTCTGGACAGTGCCCAGACCCCACCCTGACCCGCCTTACTCCTGGGGTCCGGGGCCCTCTGCCCACAGCACCCATGGTGCCTGCCTTACCAGGACTACTGCACTCCATGGTGCCGTTGGCAGCTGCAGAGCCCTCGGGACAGGCCGGGTAGCAGCGTCCCTTGTGCAGGTACAAGCTCTCCTTACACTTGGTGCAGAAGTTGTGACTGAAGCAGGCCTCACAGTGCTCAATCTTGCATTCTGAGGAGAGGACAAGAGTGGAGGCCTCAGGTTCAGCCTGCAACGGACACTTCCCCTCATCCCCATCTCAACACCTGCCAGTCCAGGACCACTCACTCTGAGGGCAGGATGGTAGGTAGCCTGGAGCTGGGAAATGCAAGAGAGGCGTCTGGGGAGGGAGGGAAAGGCAAGGGCAGGGCTCGGGGAAGGAGACCAAAGTGGCCACTCTTCAGGGCAGGCTGGGACTTACCCAGGGTCAGCCCATGCCAACTCAAACCCAATCCTAGGCCCTGGAACTCTAGGTGAGGCCCGAGAGAGCTGGTTTCAGAGGAGGAGAACAGGACCCTCTTGGATTAGTGGGGGTGAGGGAGGAGGGTCCCAGCTCCTCATGGCACCGTAAGGGCCACCCAGTCAGAGTTGAACTAAGGGACACAGTGATGCCCTGACTGTGGCTGTGTGGTCCCCTCTTCCCCCCTTTCTGGATATTCACAACACCCCAAATCCTGGATCTTTTCCAACTGGGCAGAAAGAATCGGCTTAGAGGAGGGGGAAGCGATCCCAGGGCAAATTCCTCTCCCTTTGCAAGTGAGTTCCAGGAACTGCCTTGGTTAGACTCCTGAATCCCTCCCTGATCCCCTCCTGCTAGCTCTCCCTCCTCTGGGGACTCGTGGGGGAGGGTGGGTTGCAGGGCTGGAGAAGCAGGAAGGGTCTTTCACAATCTCTCCCTTCCCAGATTGTGGGCGGGGCTAACTTCCTCCGGTCTCTGGCACCTGGAGCCTGGGCTGCCAGTTTCCCAGGAGCTGGCGCAGCCAGGAACTCCTCGCCCCAAATACCTTGAGGACCAAGAGGGCAGCCTCACAAACTCCCCACCCCCACCCCACTCTCCTCTGTGGCTTTATCTCAGCTTCACCTCCCCTACTCCCTCCTCTCATGCTCTGATTTCTGGGTTTGGTTGCAGGTGGAATACAGTTAGGAGCAACAGCAGTTACCATTTAGAATGTCAGACATGAAGGGCTTTACATATGCCTCTTACAACAACCCCAGTGGTAAAAAACTGGTACTCCCATTTTAAAGGAGGGGTTTTAAGAGGTTGTGACATGCCCCAAATCACACAATAAATAGGTAGTAGAGTTGAGAATAGAACACCAGTCGGCTGATCTGGGGTCAGTCATTTCCTCTCCAAGTCTTACTGTTAATCGGTTATAAAAAGGATACCATCACTTAGGTCCCGGTCTCCCTCCAAAGGGTGTTGTGGGCTCAACTGATGTGAGATCTGGAAATGTATTCCAAACTCCAAGGCACTGAACAAATGAGAGGGAGCACTGGCTTTGGAGTGTGTTCATCGTATGTCCCCCAGAATGACACAGCTGAGACAGGATGGAGGTGTGATAGTACGCGCCTTGAAGCATGTGGAACTGTAGCTGGTGTGGGAGAGAGGAGCGGAGTGAGAAGACCAGGGGGGAGAGGTGGGTGGGGGAGAGCAGGCTGACTGGGGCTTGAATTTCTCTTCGGTCAGTAGCACCAGCGGTGGTTTTTAAGCAGAAGTGTGATGGGACAGGTTGTGTGTCTCAGAGCATCTTTCCGGCTGCAGTGTGGAGGAAGGGTCCAAGGGAACCAGATGAGGGTTGGAGGATAGATAAACAGGCAATTGCAATAGTCCAGGAGAGAGGGGAAGGGAGCTTGGATAAGACAATGGCATTGAGGAGAGAAAGGAGATGAAGCAGGCACAATTTGATTATTGGATAGATGGGAGATGGTATAAATGAGAGGTTGGCTCCCAGGTCTATGGTTTGAGTGATGGCTTGGGAACAGAGTGATTTGTGGGAATACAGGTTGGTGCAGAGGAAGGAGATGCAGTTCTGATAGGGGCACATTGAGATGGAAATGTGGATGGAATATTGGGGGAGACGTCTGGCTGGCAGCCAGATACTTGCATCAGAATTCTTATCTCTCCTCCTCAGTGCTCCCAATACTCTTCTTGCCAGTCTCCGACAAAGCTCCCTCCCCCACTGTCCAGAGCCTCTGGTGCCCTTCTCCAGCCCTGCCCACACTCACTGATGCACTTGTTCATGTCGGGGTTGCGGGCATCGAAGTATCCAGGCGGGCAGGACGGCAAGCAGACGCCCACCTGGCGGATGTCGTTCCTCTCCAGCAGGATGAACAACTTGGGTGAGCACTTGAGGCAGCCGTTGACCTCAGAGCAGAGCTCACAACCTTTGGCACAGGCCTGGCTCCCCTCAGCACTGACTACAGGGGTGGAACAAGGGTGAGAAGGTGGCTGTAGAAAAGACCTCTGTCTTTCCCAGGCTCCCACAAGAATGGGAAGTGAGTAGATTGGTGTTTCCTTCTACAGATGACTGTGCTTCTCAGAAAGTAGAGGTCAGGCTGGCAGCTCTCTGTAAAGCTACATTACAAGCCTCCCCCAGTATCCTCTCTCAAGGGAACTAGCACAGAAACCTGGAGCAAGAGCTCCTATCCACCACAAATGCCTCCGTAGCTTCAGGCACAACACGAGCTCACTCTCCAAGCTTGTTTCGTTATGCCCAGAGATGCTACTGAAGCTGCACCTTTCCTGGAACCCACCCCTACCCTCCCCAGAGAAAGAAAAGCTCAGCCTCAGGTATGGTTGTTTTTTTTTTTTTTTTTTTTCTTATCCTTGAGAAAGTTTTAAGGACAAGAGGAGAAAATAGGTTAAAGTATCTAAGAAAAGATCACCTGCTCAGAGATAGGAAGACAACTAGAATAAGCTATGTTTCGAACGGTGGTCTCAATCAGAGACAATTTTGCTCCCCAGGGAACATTTGGCAATGTTTAGAGACATTTTTGATTGTCGCACCGGAAAGGGGGGTTGCCACGGCATCTAGTATGAGAGGCTAGGGATGCCGCTAAAACATCCTCCAGTGCATGGGGCAGCCCATATTGTCTGGTTCAAAATGTCAGTGGTTCTGAGACTGAGAAACCCTGGCTTAGAACTATCCTCTGAGGCAACGTGATCTCCAGCCCCAGTAGCAAGTCTCAAACCTTTTTTTTTTTTTCCCTTATCCACTTGTTCTATCAATCCTTACCGAGCCCCTTGTAGGGACCACATGCAGTGTGAGCGCTAGAGACGTGGAGGCAAAGATGCCTGGCCACTCCGCTGATCATTCGGTGGCACAGACAGACCTGCAAATAGGCAAATGCTGACAGCCACAATGCCAAGCAATAGTGGACTCAAAAGGAAGAGAGGGAAGGAGTCACAAAGAAGGGGCTATCTGGGCCAACTCTTGAGAAATTAGTCGATTTGTCAATTAGGAAACAGAGATAAGGGCCCTCTAGGAGCAGGACCGCAAAGGTGGACGACAATCCGCAAAGATAATTCAGAGTGCAGGAAGAATGGAGAGAGAAGTAATAAAAGATAAGGAGTCCTATCTTGAAAGGCCTTTTATGTCATGCTAAGGAACTTGCCCTTGATCCTGCCAGGCGGCGTTCCCCAAAGAATATTCCTTGGAACATGATCCCCCTAAATGTTCATAGGGGACTGTAGAGAAAAGGTCACTGAATCAGGTAAGACTGAGAACCACTGGGTCCAACAAGTATAAACAGGATTCTTTACTTCTTCATCCTTTATTATGAGCCTGTGCTGATTGCATCTCCAGGAGGGGGACAGAGAGAGCTGTATTTCCCAAATATTTTTGCCACAGAACCCTTGTTTGGCAGAGTTTTTCTTGGGACCTTTCTGAGAGCTAATTATATGACAGGGAGCTATTGGCAAGTTTTATGCAGGAGCAAGACCTAGTCTGATTGACATGTTGGAAAGGTTGCTCTGGCAGCCTGGGTGGAGACCAGAGACTGAAGAATCATTTGGAAGGAAGCTGACCAGATCATCCAGGTGAGAAAGGTGAGAAAGTCTTAAATAATACTCAGTTCAGTGGAGATGGAGAGAAAAAGACTTACTTGAAAGATGCTTAGGGAATACAATCAGTAAGCCACGGTGACCAATAGGAGGAGGAGGAGTCTGGGGTGAGTCCCAGCATTCTGGCCTAGGGTATGGGTGAGCGGTGGGGCCAGTCCCTAAAAGAGGCCCATGGGAAGAGAAGCAAGTTGAGAAGTAAGGAGAGGAAGGAGAATAGTTATTAGTCGCTTAAGAGGAGTTGTAGATATAGGCTGGAGGCAGAGAGCTGGGAGAATCAGAACAGAGATGGCAGGAGATCACACAGGACCCAGAATTCGGGCTTCAGAGTCAGCTGGACGTGGACCCAAATCCCCAACCTTCGACCCTAGGCAAAACACTGCATTTTGTGTGCCTCCCTTCCCACCCCTGAAAAAGAGAGATGAGGATGCCCACTCAGGAGGGCTGTGGAAGGGAGCATCTGTTCCGGGAACGATCCCTGATTTCAGAACAGGAGAATGAGTAAGAGGTTGGGAGGTGAGCAGAAGGGAAGAGGAGGATAACAAAAACGATGATAATAATGATAAAATCATAATCATCATAATGGAGGCTCATTACTAAATGTTGAACGCTCATTCTGCAGCAGGCACTGTTCTCAGTGTTTTGTAAGTATTGACTCATTTAATCCTTACAACCCGTGAAGTAGGTACTATTATTTTCTTTGTAATCCTCATTTTTACAGATGAGGAAATGAAGAAGTTACATTGAACAAGGCTTCTCGGCCAGTATGTCTTCCAGGCAGAAGGAACGGAGTTTACAAAGGCCAGTGATTAGAGAATATGAGATGACATGGAAACTGAAAGTATGGTTAGACTGATTTTTTAAAATATAGAATTTATTTTTGTAGAGTCGATGTTATTTAATCAATCGATAAATTAAAAAATTAATATTGTTCTTGTTGGCTTAGTTATTATGAGAGCAGAAATCCTCCAGATGTTGAATTGGAGTCATGAGAGAGCCCTTGGGATTATGTTTCCACTTGGGGCCTTTATTCAGATATAGTAAAAATTAATAAATCACTGTAGATATTAGGTACCATTTCTGTATCAAAAATATTAAATCCTCTATTACTTAAGGATTTTACTTAATTCATTGTTGACATGACCGCTTCCTCTAGATTTTTGCCTTGGTTTCAAGAACTGAAGTCATCCAGGTATCCCATTTGCAGCCTCTACAGCTATGTTCCCATAATTATTTATTCCCACCTTATTACTTTTGTTAAGGACAGATTTGTAAAAAGCCTTCTCAGAATCCCGCTGCCTGCCTCCCACTCAACCAACAACAAACCTCTGAGTGCATCTCCCTTCAGATCTATCAAAGACAGAGCAAAAAAAAAGTGTGGTACACTTGAGGATGTGAAATTAGTTCAGCATGGCTGGAAGTTCGAGTGAACAGTTAGACATGAAGCTGGAGAGGGAAGCGGGGGTCAGACAAAGAAGGGTCTTCAATGTCCATAGAGGAGTTTGGACATTTTTCCTAAAGGCGAAGGGGAATCACTGTGGGCTTTAAATAGGAAACACGGTCAGGATTTCCTTTTAGAAAGACCACTTTGTAGTGAAGAGAATGGATTGTAGGGAAGGCCAAACTGGAGGTAGGAGGAGGTCACCCCGGGTTTGAAGAGACGGAGCTAAACCAAGGGGACGGAAAGGAGTAGACACATGTAAGATATTCAGGTGGCAGAATTAACAAGACTAAATGATGCTGGGGAAAGCACAAGTTGAGGATGACTTGGAGGTGTTGGGCTTCAGAGACAGCGTAGCTGGCAGCCCTTCACCAAGAGAGGGACCACAGGAGGAAGAGCATGTTTGGGTGAGGAAATGATGAGTAGTTGAGTTTTAGATGTGTTAAGGTTGTGGTTCCTGTGGGACACCCAGGATAAGGTGTCTATTAGGCAGTCGAACCTGTGGGTCTGGAACCCAAGAGGAACATTTGGCTGGAGAGTTAAGACGTGGAGTCTTTAACATGTTAATAGTCATCAAAGGCATGGAGGTCCATTGAGATGGCAAGGAGAGTGGGTATAGAAGAATGTGAAGAAGAATTAGACACTTAAGAGAAGGACGGAAAAGGAAGGGCTAGCATAGAGGCTGAGAAGGAGCAACCAAACAGGTAGCAGATGCTCAAAAGCATGTTGCGTTACAGAAGCCAAGAGAAGGGTACACTCGATAAGGAGGGAGGCGTCACATGCCAAATGCTGCTGAGGTGTCACGTAAGAAACAGCAACAAACAGGTTGGGGGTGGAGAGCAAGGGCAGTGGTCGAGGAGTAAAAGGAAGGCGAGGAAGGAGGGCCATGTCATCTCACGAAACCAGCTGTAGAGATGGGGAGAGAACTCAGGGATGTCATGGGAGCTGTCATCGGGATTAAATTCATGAAGGTAGAAGGCATCCCAGGGCAGAAGCTGTGTAGCTTCAGAAAGAGGGCCTAGGGCTGGAGCCTTGGCAACACTCATATTCAACAGACCAGCAGAGGAAGAGGAGCCAGGGAGAAGCTGAGAGGAAATGGCTGAAGAGGTGGGAAGATACTGAGAGAGAGTCCAGAGAGAAACCAAGTTGAAAAGAGAGAGATCGCAGGGACCAGGGCTAGGAGGAGACCACGGCCAGTGGGCTCTGAGGTGAATCTGGGAGACCTGCATTAGGAGTGAGCTCGAAAAGGGCAATTTTGGTGGAGTAGTAGAGATGAGAGCCAAACCACAGTGGGCTGAAGAGAGTGGAAGGGATGGAGGTGGGAGTAAAGCGAGGAGAGGGAGTGAGAGGGTCAGAGAACAGAAAGAGAGGAGACTAGTTGGGAGTAGAACTGTGATCACAAGACTCAGAGGCAGGCTGAAGGCCCAAGGATATGGGAGGGTCAAGATACAGAGCTCAGATGATAAGACTGGCCTTGAGTCTTGAGGCTAGGGTCAAGGACAAGGGATGAGGGAGTTGAGCTCCATGAGGTTTTGGGGCTCAGCAAGGAGGAGAGAGGCTCAGTGATGGGCAGGGGTCAGTTCAGGGAAGAAAGAGATGCTTATCAAGGGGGTAGGAACCAAAGGGTGTTCTCAGCTTAGCAAGGCAAATAGATAGGGAGGGGATGGGGAGCCAGGGCATAGGGGGGCTCTGTGTGTGCCAAGGAAGATAGTGGGTGTTGGAGTGTTGCATAATGATTCAAAGGGAAAAGCCAAGCCTCATTCATTCCGTAGACATTTACTGCACACCTAACATGACCACATGCCCAGAGCTGCTAGGAGCTGAAAATGTGGAAGTGTAGCAGCCAAGGCTCACCCAAGAATGCAGGAGGCAGGGCTGGCTCCGCACTGTGGTAAGTGGAGGAGCAGTGGAGGGCAG